CTCTCTATTCAGGACAGTTTATAGTAGCACTTTTTGTACCACTACAACTAAGGATCTGTTAGCATTTCTGCCAGGAAACGCCTCTTTATTCCAGGGTTTTTAATATGGCTTCAAAAAGTCACCATTGGCCGACCCTTGGGATATAAGGTCTTATTTTTTTAGGTTTTTAAAAAATAAATTTTTACAGAAACATTATGCAAAAGGACTTAAGTGCTTTTTCATGGTCCAGTTACTTAAAAGTATGCTCTTAAAATATTGTGAGAGTTGTTAACTTACAATTTGGACCAGGAACTTCGGAGGTCCATACTATTATATAAAGCTATTCAACATAACACTATAGTGTATCATTGTATTAAATACATAATAAAAAATCAATTCTTGCTAATGTTTACAACTGTCTTGTGAATATTTTTAATATTCATAGGCCTAGTAACAACGTAACAGTAATGATCATGTTAAAGGTGGTACAGTATGTTCTGATTCATAGATTGTAAGGCCAGAAGGGACCTCGGATGATCACCGGGTCCAGCCCCCTGCACCAAGCAGGAAAGATAACTGGGGGTCAGGTGACCCCAGCAAGGTGACTGTCTAGTCTCCTCTTGAAGATTTCCAGGGTAGGTGATTGTACACCTCTGGAGGGAGCTTATTCCACAGTCTGGACACCCTGACTGTGAAGAAATTTTATATATACAGCATTTGCTGTATATTATCATTGGCAATCCCTTGCAGTCCAGGATGGTTGTCTTCCATAATTGTCTGTCAAAGTGTAGGTCATAAGAAGGGTGGAGAGGATCTATTGGAGGACTGAGAAAATGAGAAGTATGCTGAGAAACTAATGTTGAATTATCAAATTTGCTCAGCTTTTACCATTTTACTTTAATTGACAGAGAAGAAAGGGACAGCTTTCATAATCTTATGCTGAGAGGATAAGGATGAGCAAAAGAGACCATGGGGGAAAAAGGGAAAATAAAAAAGAAGGGGACCGAAATCAAGAATGGCATAGTAAATCCATATATTCAAAAAATAGGTTCAGATGCTAAAATAAAACATAGTAGCACTTCAGCAAGACAGGCAGCATTATACAAGGGAATGATAGATGAGTGTGATGTCATTGACAGCTTTTGGCTCAGATTCAGGCACTGATCATAAGTTGGTGGGTGCTGCTCCTTTAAAATGTTGGTTTAGACTTGTAGCTTGTTAAGCACTGTACTCATGAGACCATGAAAGGAAACAGCATTTTTTTCTTTCACTCTCCTCCCTTTGCAGATATCATAAGACGCTAATATAATTGAAATGTTGACTCCGCATAGGTTGGAAATTCAAAAATCTCTTAGTGTGGAAGCCAAGGGAATTATCCCAGGAGATGATGAGCCAGTGTAAAGGAGCTGAGCGTGCCTGGCACTTTTGCGGATATGTTCAGCACCTTTTAGGCCTGAGGCCCAAGGGAATCTACTAATGAATAGTAATCTGATATATCTTTTGTGTGAGGTGAATGAAAATGTGAAAAGGGAGGACTGGGATAGAACAACATGCACTGACTAACACCAAAACCTAGAAAGGAAGAATGTTCATAAATTTTATTTTTCTTGAAGTGGTCTGCCCATCCTAGTGGGAGGAGGGGGCAAGTGAGAGCAGGGGTGCAGCCATCCCTGAAATGTAGGTCTCCTTTACAAAATCCTGGATCTACCCTCTTAATGTCCTTCGGAACACAACTGAAAGCTGATCCTGTTGTATTTTCAGGTTCATTCTTTCATTGTTACAGGGAGCAGGAAGACCATTCCTCTACCCCCTTCTCTTTTGTTTAGTGCTGTAATAGGAACAGTTGTAAAAACCATGTTTGGGAAGGTCTGCTAAGAAATTCTATATGCGATTACAAATCAACTTCTCAGAAAAGTGTGCAGAGCCACCTACAGAATCTACAGTGGAACTAGACAGCTTTTCAATCTATTTATCAGTGCATGGCAGGTGAAACAAATATTGAACACAGAAAATCAATCTGTATCTTGAGTATCTCAATATATAAAAATCAGTTGAGATGCGTTGTTTCTGGGTGGCTCACAGAAGTGTTTGTGAGTGTCTTTCTGACCGATCCAAGATGCTCAATCTAGAATGTACACTGATTTGCAGCTCTGTATTGGTGACTTGGAGTAACCAACACCTTTGCCAATTAAATTCTGATAAACAAGGTTTCTGGTATTAGAGGATTTCAACTGTGACATTTCAGTTAGGTGAGAAATATTGTAATATCACCCTTATTTTCAGCTACTTGTATCTTAAAAACGGTGGTGGAACATTTTATCCTTAATCAATAGATGATTTTTTGAAGGCGTGAAGAAAATGTGTTTAGTGGCTTTTGAGTTCACCTAACATGAGGTGTTGTAGCCACTTAAATATTGTTGAGATATTATTTGAGGTCTGGTGACTCAGAAAGCAGCTTTGTTTTACATTAAGCTTCTTTATTTGTAGTCCTGGATGTGAAATATATGCTTTGCTTGAAAACAAAATTGGATTCAAAGTAAAATAAAGTTAAGAAGAGCTGAATATTCTTCACTATTCATTACCTCGCTTTGATTTAATCACCTGCCAGGTACATACATGGGTTTATGCAGTTTTATTTGATCCCTAGCAATTCCACCATAATGGGCAATCACTGTATGAGCTCATTCTGGGATGAAGGTTTTATGGGCTACACAATAAACTGAACATGAAAGGGGCTTGTTGCTTGAAAATTGATGATCTAGGCTGAACAGCCCAGATTTGGTTTAATAGTAGAAGCTGACCAGATTTGCACCATCATTTTTAGATGAAAATTACAATTACAACATTATTAGTAAAGGTTTCCCTTTTAAAGGGTTTATAAATGATTAATAGATATAATAAACATATTGTGGGCAGGAGAGGTATGTGTTATAGCTGTAAGTACATCACCAAGATGATGCTACAAATGGTTATAAGGTATGCTTATGAATAAATTATTGATCATTTTAAATATTTTATTTTTAGAACAAAAAAAAACCAAAACTAGTAAAGCGACCAAAACGCTGGCTTGCATCCATAGATGCTTCTCAAGCAAATCCCGGGACGTCATTCTCCCCCTGTACTCGGCCTTAGAGAGGCCGCAGCTGGAGTACTGTGTCCAGTTTTGGGCTCCACAATTCAAAAAGGATGTGGAGAAGCTTGAGAGAGTCCAGAGAAGAGCCACGCGCATGATCAGAGGTCAGGGAAGCAGACCCTACGATGACAGGCTGAGAGCCCTGGGGCTCTTTAGCCTGAAAAAGCGCAGGCTCAGGGGTGATCTGATGGCCACCTACAAGTTTATCAGGGGTGACCACCAGCATCTGGGGCAACGTTTGTTCACCAGAGCGCCCCAAGGGATGATGAGGTCGAATGGTCACAAACTACTTCAAGATCGTTTCAGGCTGGACATAAGGAAGAACTTCTTTACTGTCCGAGCCCCCAAGGTCTGGAACAGCCTGCCACCGGAGGTGGTTCAAGCGCCTTCATTGAACACCTTCAAGATGAAACTGGATGCTTATCTTGCTGGGATCCTATGACCCCAGCTGACTTCCTGCCCTTTGGGCGGGGGGCTGGACTCGATGATCTTCCGAGGTCCCTTCCAGCCCTGATGTCTATGAAATCTAAGTATCAGAGAAAGAAAGAGACACTGGGAAAGGAGAAAAATGGTAGTTTGATTTGAGCAATTAGTTTTACGCAATCCTCCACAAGCAAAAATAAATGGGTATTTCAGGTTTGGCCTATCTGCATGTTGTAGCTCCTGGAGAATATCACTTTTAAGGGCTGATTTCTTTTTATCTCTGTTAGCTGTGGCTGAACTCAGCCTTGGCTTTGACTTGAACTTTTTAAAAAGTTCTATGTCTTAAAAAAAATTAAAGTAGAGGATGAGATGCAGGCTGAGGCATGCTGAGCAAAGGGTGGAGAGGCCATGCTGCAGCTGGAATTCCCTAAAGCAATACGCGCTGTAGTTGTACTTCTATTCTCCATGCATGGGAGGAGGGTGGAGTAATATGGTTTTCCTCCTCTCCTCTCCTCTCCTCTCCTCCCCCCCCCCCCCCCCCCCCCCCCCAGACACTTAGCATCCACAGGAACCAACAATAGTGCTCCTGGCCTTGTCTTGGGGGCTTCTTCCTCCCCCAAACCATTCCTGCGCACAGTGGCATACTGTATACTGACAGAAGAAAGTACTGAATCCTCAAATTCAGTATGCAAATGTAAATATGACAAACGATGAAAGTCAAGTATATATAGAGTCCTTTTAATTTATATACTTGTTAGCAGGTCCCTATCTTTCTGTGAGAGTTTTGGATGATGCCAAATACTACAGACCAGAAATGGCGTATTCCTAATATATTTTAAGACTTAGAAAATGCAAGCAGGGACAGACACAACATATATCAAATATATCATAAATCCCCAGTGAGTTTTTAGTTTAATTTTGTGTTGTTCAGAAAATTAAGAAAGTGAACTCCTTCTCTGCCAATCCTGATAACAAATAAGACATTAAATATTTTGGTATTGAAGAAAGTAATAATAATGGGCTTTGCAATTATGTGGTATTAGTGTTTCCAAGCATTTCATGAAGGCAGGTTCATTTTACTACACAAGAGTATGTTGAGTAAAGGAAGTTCAAGTGGATTCCTCGGGATCATGTAGCAGGCCTGATCCAAACCCCATTTAAGTCAGTTTAATTACCCGTATATTTCGTTTGAGATTTGGATCAGATCCTGAATCAGTGAGATTGGGGAATGGTAACCACATCTTCCTCTCATGTCTATGCACTTGCCTCCTAGATGAAGTCACTTTTGGGGGAAAGGAATGCAGGGGGGGAGTGAGAGGGAAAGGCATGGTTTCCTAGACTAGAGACATACTTGGCTAAACAGTGTAAAAGCATTTGGTGATTTATAATTGTGCTAAGAGAAGCTCTGTGAAAATGTTTTGCATCTAATAAATATCTGACTAAGAATCTAATAATATATTCACAGAGCCAGAACTTCTTCCAGCAAAGACTTCAGACTCAAAACAGATCATACTGCATAAGGACAGAGAAGAGCAATTGGTTGTTATAACACAACCATGGTAACATCTCAGCACTCAGCTATCATTCCAGATGGGAAATAAGAGGAGCAACACATAGAGTTATCCACATTACTGCAAAGACTTCAGTAACATATAATACAAGTAGGTGGTGATTTGAAAATGGCAATAATCCCTTGGTTTGATTAGCACTTCATAGAGGAAAAGACAGTCCTAAATTAGTTGGATAAAAGAAATCAACACCTCACAAAACACCTCCATTTTATGGTGTTTAAGTGTAGGTGTGTTTTGCAAAATCATAAGAATTTTAGTAGTGCTATTCCAAAAAAGAAATGATTACTTGTGCTATACAGTTCTGTGAAAAAAATCTTTTTTTTTCAACTTATGTCATTTTTTTTTTACTTTTGCAAGATAGACTATGCTAATTTGTTAAGATGAAAATTGAATAGGATCATGATAGTAAGGAGCTCAGAGCCCAATTCCAGCGGATAATAAAAAGACATTGGGTACTTAACTTCCCTAGGCTTCTTGAAATTCCAGCTTCTGTATTTTAATTATTGAAGAGCTTGCAATACTAAAATCTGAAACTGTACAGGTAATTAAATTTAGCTTCAACTGTGTTACATGAGTGATCATAGAAAGATAAGAACTTCCTAGTCATTTAGTCTTATGCTATCACAGAAGACCATGCCACACAACGTTATCCAGATCCAACTTAAACCCTGCTAGATTTTTTTTACCTGCACTGCTCCAGTGCAGTTTCTTGCATACTGAAATGATTTCTTTCGTCAGTGGTCATGATTACTCATTCTAACATTGGCATGAGATTCAGAGAGATGCAGAGAGAGAATAATGACACATATCACTTTGCCTGTTTCCTTCCCCTAGTGTTAAAACCATAATATAAACAGAACAAGGAAATCCAGAGATAATAATGAAAAGAGAAAAATGTGTTTAAAAACATTCAGTGCTGAAGATTAAGTGCATTCAGTACTAAATACAAATCAATGCTTAATTCTCTTGTCTAGCCAAATGGATAGCCATTGGGCTTGGGTTCAGTTCTTTGGTCTGCTGGAATATCCTGCCTTTCCTGTCCCTCAGTTTCTCTATCTTTAAAATAGCTACTGATACTGATCTCCTTTATAAAGTGCTGCTTTGAAATCTACTGAAAAGTGCTACATGGGAACTGATTGTTATTATTTCTATTATTTTTGTTCCTCTGTATAGCAGAATAAATCAATCCTTCTGTTCAGCATAACTTTTCCCTGACACATGACATGCTGATAGACAAATCCAGAAAGCCTATAGTGGTGCTATTTATGTATTGAAATGGGATTAAGTTTTACTTGTAGTTTAACAAGCATCCAGCTACATTATCCTCTGAACCATCATAATGTCAATTTCTGATAGGCTAAGGGAGATTTTATAACATTATAATAATTATAGCAGGCAAGTGTTGAACTTTTTCAGTGAAGGCATTGTTAACATTTTGGATTTTTCTCATGGTCTGAGCTTGTCGGGTTTATATAGATGGCATTTGATGTGATTTCTATTCATATGTGTTACCACAGTGCAGTTCCTCCATTTTCAAAGAAAGAATAAAGAAATCTGTCAGATGTGGTAGAAAATCCTGTAAGTGAGAGATACTCAGTGTTTGTGCTAAATCAAAGCAATGGAGACTGCACTTTGACTATGTCTACTGCAGCATTTTGCTGTAAAACATAGAGATTAAAATAGAAGATGTTGTATGATAGCATTTGGCACAGGGATTTTCTTTAACCACTTTTCCCTAATATAAATGTGTGTCAACCCAACTGTCTGAGGAATAAAATATGCACAGCATCCTATCTGTCAATTATAGCCAGGATTAGAGTTCAGTGCACTTCAGCTTTTCTATATTTTAGCACCCCTGCAGGTCATGATTAAAAAAGGAAGTTATATGGATTCTGCTGCTTCAGAAGAATACCATTAAAGAACATTTATTAATCATGCAATGTGTTTCCTGTATCATCCAGCCAAACCAAGCTTTCTCAGTGCACAATAGTGTCATATTTACTGCATGTCCTCAAGGGTAAGGATTTAGTATTTGGATGGCTAACAAGAACAGAATGTTTTCATCTATGACTAATATAATGACTAAGTGCTGGGTTCCAAATGGAACCCAGACATACTGGGACAGTGTGAAGCAGGATATGAAGAAGATAATATATGAAATTCTTCTTAACCCTGCAAAAGGGAACTCCACCATTTCTGCAGACTCAGAAAAATGGCACAGGCTGCATTTAATACCAAGTCAGTATTCAAAGTCTTCTGCTGGGCTTGTAGAAATCAGTTTGGAAGATTTCTAATCACTAGTGTTAAATGACTATATTTTGAATGATTCCCCTGCTCGCACTGCTCTATGACTGGCTATGTCAGAACCTGATTTAAAAGTACCATACTGTAACAGTCTGTAAGAGGCACAACTACTGAGACATACAAGTACCATTTACTTTAATGGTATTAAACAAATGATAGTAGGGCACATCTCCATGAGAAACTTTACTCAAAATTACAGCTAATTACTGTGCAGTGAGCATCACCACCTACACGTGCAGATGTTTACCACTAGTAATTGGCTCTAATTGCGAGTAAATTTGCTATCTACCCTCAAGGGTAAGGATTTAGTATTTGGATGGCTAACAAGAACAGAATGTTTTCATCTATGACTAATATAATGACTAAGTGCTGGGTTCCAAATGGAACCCAGACATACTGGGACAGTGTGAAGCAGGATATGAAGAAGATAATATATGAAATTCTTCTTAACCCTGCAAAAGGGAACTCCACCATTTCTGCAGACTCAGAAAAATGGCACAGGCTGCATTTAATACCAAGTCAGTATTCAAAGTCTTCTGCTGGGCTTGTAGAAATCAGTTTGGAAGATTTCTAATCACTAGTGTTAAATGACTATATTTTGAATGATTCCCCTGCTCGCACTGCTCTATGACTGGCTATGTCAGAACCTGATTTAAAAGTACCATACTGTAACAGTCTGTAAGAGGCACAACTACTGAGACATACAAGTACCATTTACTTTAATGGTATTAAACAAATGATAGTAGGGCACATCTCCATGAGAAACTTTACTCAAAATTACAGCTAATTACTGTGCAGTGAGCATCACCACCTACACGTGCAGATGTTTACCACTAGTAATTGGCTCTAATTGCGAGTAAATTTGCTATCTACAAATGCAAGTAGCAAATTTACTCAAAATTATGCAATTCACAGTAGCACACATGTAGACACCTGACCAGGAGCATATTTGCTCTCAGTCAGCCAGGCAGCTCCTTACCCCCAGGAGCTGCCTGCTGCTGGGATGGGCTCCGCCACTGGCGCCAGAGTAGGGACTATGCCCCGCTGCCCCAGCAGCAGGGAGATCCTTATCTCCCAGCCTGAGCTCTGAAATCATGGGGGTGGGGCTGGGAGATCCTTATTTCCCAGCACTGGCTCTGCAAGCATGGGTCCGGCACTGAGAGATCCTTCCCTCCCAGCACTAGCTCCCCAGTCATGGAGTGCAGAGTTGGCAGCTCTGTGCTACTGGGGCAGTGAGACATTATCCCCACCCAGGCTCTAGTGGTGGAGCCTGCCCCTGTAGCAGGTAGGTCCCCAGGGCTGTCTCCTGGCCCTGTGCTTGCTGCCAGCCCCTGAGCTAGCACCCAAGATGAGCCTAGAGCTCCTCCTGGCGATTGCAGGGGGCCAGTGCAGGGCCGGCGAGGGCAGGAGCAGATTTGCTGCCATAAGCAGCAAATCTACACATGCAGAGACACAGGAACAGATGCATGCCTGGGAGAGTTTACTCTCGAGTAATTTACTCGAGAGTAAACTTCTCCCAGATTATTTGCGCGTGTAGACACACCCATAAAGAACCAGAATAATTAGTGTAATTGAGGCAATCAGATAACAAGTATTCTGAGTTACTTCTGATACCTGTTATTCCTTCTTACAGATTATTAATCCAAATGTTTTATTACCTTGGACCCAGCTCATAATTCAACTATAGAATAATGTTGTGTATTGTGGTGTCATTTTGGTCATAGACTTCCTAGTCTAAGATTGTAAGTCTTCTTTGTAACCACAGTTAACTTTGAAGCATTTTATAACTTTTTAATATAAAATCAATAGAAGCTTACATTTGTGCTGGATTGCAGGGATTTTACCCCAAGATGTGCCCTCTTAGAGTCTGAAAATGTTTACTTGTTTGAATTAGCTAAAACCACTTTGAATTTACCCTGTGTTGCATATACATGTGCCACATTAACAGAAATTAAAAAACAAATTGGTTCATAGATAGCTTTGCTGGTGGTGTGAGTCCCTAGGTTAACAGAAGCTATCTTAATCTAGATATTTATTTACTATAAATAAGAGAGTTTGAAAATGGTCCCTGTAAAAATTGGAGTGACCAGATTTTGATCTGTAAGCCACATCATTTAGATCATTTTTACAGTAGTGTGAGAGGGAGGGGAGTAACCAGGGCAGCACCTGTGTCAGGAGGGAGGAGGAGGGTTTACAAAAATAACTGGTGCCACAGTTGGTCACTGCCAGCAATGTAGAAGCCAGTAAGGGCATGAAGCTACTTTATCAGGTAGGTAGAAAAAGAGACAGGTATTTCACAAAGAGCCTTTTTAGTCCCATTGCAAATCACCCTCAGGTCTTCCCTTTAACAATTCCATTGAGTTCCTCACAAAATACAATAAAATACCCTTTGCCAGGTAGATCTAAGGAAATCATGAAAGATCAGTCAAGTTACCAGTACTTCTTCAGTACCTTGACTTTTATATTCACCTAGGACATAGTCATTATACTAAAATAAGACACCCCTGACAATTCAGAATATCCATAGTCCACATAGTCCACATTTCTGACTTCTGGAGGGGGTGTCAGTAGGTTTCATATGCCTGTTTTATTTCAATAAATATGTTGTAAGAAATTGGTGTCTAAAATTAAAATCTTAAATCACTATCTAAGCCTCCTAATAAATGACCTGATTTTCCCAAATCCTAAACACCCAGAATCTCTAGCACTATAAATTGATACCTAAGAATT